AAATCGCCATGGCAACAAGACCAAGCTGCGAAAACGAGGTCAACCCACTTCAAAGGAGAAGTTGTTTGACCTTGTTTTCGCAACTTGCCCATATTGGTAGGAAGACTTGTCCGGAGTCCGCAGTATGCATGATCATTTCCAGAGTCGGACGTGGATTTGGTACATTCCCAGACGTTTCGACGGCATCGTCAGTGAGTCTTGCCATTCTCAGCGCTAAACTAAAACTGGCCAGAGTGACAAGTGGAATCAACCAACCTTTGGCCAAAACGGTTGAGCTCTCACTCCTCTTCCTGTCCTGGTCCCACTGTCTGTTCCACACCCTCTTATCTCGTCTTCGTCCTATCACAACGCCTGATTTGCTTATATTCACTCCTCAAAAGGTGTGCTCTTTTGACGAATTCATCGTAGCGTCTTCACACCTTCTGATTGCCTCCCCACTCCCTTTCGTGCGGCTGATCCGACTCTGGCCTCCTATCCTGATCTCCCTCATGGTCTGGAAGATCCGTTTCTTCTCTTTTTGGTTGACCGATTTCACTCGGTTCCAAGGCTTCAGTAGCATGTACAATGTCGCCTCACTTGCAGACCGCCTATGCTCTGATTTCCATGCTAGCGGATATTAGGTCATTGACTTCACGCATCATCTCCTTGGTTAGACTCATGTGCCCTGAGCAAACGGTTCACTTCTATCTCTGGTCCCTTGCTGCCTCTCGAGAGGGCTTCTAGTCAGTTTGGCTATAAGGCATTAGTAACGTGACCGTCAGACCTCCAAAGTTGTGGTTGTTTCTTCAAGTAGACTACATTCACTGAGAACATCTTCGCTTGATTTCCGAAACTTTCTAATCCTCTTCTTCCTTGCGATCGCTTTTCCTCTTGATTACGACAGATCCTTGAGCAAGGCGTCTCCCTTCTGTTTGTCCTGCTGTATCCTTGTTTCCTCAGAGTTTGATCAGGCAATAGGCAATGTTTTCATTAACTCTGCCTTCTTCTGCTCATTATTTTTTTCCCCAAAGTGGTCAATTGCCTCCCTAATCTTCCGCTTCCTTGTGTCGTCGCCGTGTGGGGCCCTTTCTTCTGTTGTCTTACAATTTATCTTGTGTTCAATCTGTACGATGTGTTCCGTTTTATCTGATCCTTCATTATCCAGTTTCCTGCAGACTCTTTGATGTTCCTTCATTCGTATGCTAATTTTTCTCCCAGTTTCGCCAATATATTTCTGTTCGCAGGCGCCGCACGCTATGCAGTAAACTCCCGAGCCATCCTATTTGTCTATCCTCTTGTGTTGCGTGGGTAGACTTGTGAAGAGTGTTGTTTTTTCCTTCGTGGTCACTTGAATATTCCATTTCTTAATATTGGCAGCAGTTTTTGAGTTAGTTCGCTGAAAGGGAGGCATATCAACTTTTGTTAGTCTTTTTCTATCTTTACCTCACTTTCATAATCCCCTTCTTGCCATCGGCTCTTCCCCTATGGCCCCCTCAAATCACTATTTGCCAGTAGAATCGACTGCATTACTTACATACGAAAAATAAGTAACGTAGTCGATTGTTATAGCAAATATACGTTTGCTTCATCGGCAATCCCACCAAAGGATATGATATGACAAAAGGCCTGGCCTTCCTTGAAATTCTTATCTGCTCCGTGACCCAAGGACACTCGTGGCAATGTGGTCGAGTGGTTAACGTGCCAAGCTCCCATTCTGTACTGTCACAGGTCGACTCCCGCTGGGGTGTTGATAAAACCTATGCGATTTCGAAACTGCCATCCACCCCAGCCGAGATGAGAACAACCTTTGGGAAAGCAAGGCTATGTGAAATTCAATGGAAACGTCAGCTCTACTCATAGCATTGTGGGTAAATTCTACTACCAGTCCTTTATCAACTTAACCGAAATTGGGTGAATACATCTCATATTACTGATCTACTAGAAGTCTCGAAACTCTACTTAAACACGAAAATTAAAAAATACTTTTGTTCATAAGTTGTATTATCTGGTGATCCCACTTTCAATTATTTGATATTATTGAGATTTTTCCTATCATTAATTTCTATTATGTAAAATTGAATGGAAACGTCAGCTCAACTCATATCATTGTGGGAAAATTCTACTACCAGTCCTTCA